GCCACACATTACTACATTATTAATCACCACACAAGTCAACATATAAAATATATCATGCATTCCCTATTAATCACCACACAGGCCAAGTTTGATATATATATATATATATATATATATATATATATATCACCTATAACCCCAAGCTTGTAGTTCAGCAGTAGGGATTGATTCACGTTTAAGTAAGGTTAGGGATTCGAATGTTGCCTTGTGTATGCAGCCGCGTTAAATCTTGGGGCCAGCTATCTCACCCTTTGAGGTGCCTCCAACGTAGCGAGGAGATTAGTCACTGCTACCAGCGGTGGATACTCCAGGGACGAAAAAAAAAAAATATATCACTTGTTAACATACTACTAAACTAATATTGGCATTATATTATATCTCAAGTTTTCCAAATTGGAAAATGTGTTGCCACGTTCTAAACAATGAAATTGTTGGCTTAATAAATTGATTACATATCAATGAAGTTCAGAATTTTCTAAACTTAAACAATAACTATTGTGATTTGAAGTCATGCAAATAAATATGTTCTTAACATCATCTTCTTGTGACCTTCCCTATTCGTGTTACCTATATTGAGACAAATCGTCTACGTCTATCTCAACACTGGTCAGCGTTTAATGAAAGCAAGAGCCAATCAAATTAGCACAAGTAAAGGGACCTAACCAGCTCATTGAATATATTAAATATAAAAAGTATACTCATTGCCATTTTCATTACAATGAAATTCAAATTCAAATATTTAAAATAAAACAAAGATTTTATCCAAAAAGATAAATTAATGACTAGTTAAAACGACAGTGGTCCTGATGGTTCATTATTCAGTGATATCACGTTGTAGGGGACACGTTTGACTATATTGAAATTCTAATATTATATATAATCCGGACAAAAAATGAAACCAAATTGGTAACGATGAATACGTAGAGAGGGATACCAAAAATAACAATTATATAATGCGAATAGTTCTACAAAATTAAAAAAAAATATTGAATGAATAATTTATCTGCAAATTGATGAAAAAGTATAAAAAGTTGTCATTTTCTTACGAATTTTTCTACAAAAAAATATTTGTATATTTTTTTTTATGAATTTTCTTGCAATAATAATTTTATAAATTTTTTTTGCAAATTTATTTGAGAAAAATAATTTACAGGAATTTCTTACATATTTTTTTAATGAAAAATAATCCACAATTTTTATTTTTTTTTGCAAATTTTGCTACAATTTTAATAATCGTAGAATTCTTTTTTTCATGATAAAAATTTGCAGAAAATGTTGTAAGAATTTTATCTTGTTTCTTGCAGATTTTCTTGTAAAAATAAATTCACAAGTAATGTTTACTAAATGGTAGAAAAATTTTGCAGGTAACTTTTCTTGCAAATTTTCTTGTCAATTTTAAATAGCAGGAAAAAAATATATATAAAAAAATTATGTTTAAGAATTAAAAGACATACCTCAAGTCCCACATCGATTAAAAATAAAACAATTAAATAGTATATAAGTTGGGGTAACACTCACCTTACAAGTTGGTTTTGTATGGTTGAGTATTAAACCTATAATTTACATGCTTCAGGTGAATTCATTGTAGGCATTTGAAAGTTGAAGAGTTATTAATAGAAATTGTACAAAAATTACTTCCGATAGTTTCTTTGATTTTTTTCTTGCAAAAAAGTTTGCAGAAAATTTCTCAGGAAACTTTCTTGCGAATTTTTTTTATATAAAACTTTTTTACAAATTTTTTTCGCAGGAAAATTTCCTGCAAGTTTTTTTCACAGAAAAATTTCTTGTGAATTTTAAAATTTGCAGAAACATATTATCTACAAAGGTATTACCTAGAGATAGAATTTTGTAAAAAAATTTGTAGGAACAATGTTTACTGCGAATCTTTATGAATAAATCATAGAAAAAATCACACGTAATAATAAGAGAAATTCTAGTAATGGAAGAATTGTGGTATGCATCCATATTTCATGGCTTCCTATTGAATATTTGAATTGTATCAAGACTCTTTCTTACGGAGAGTGGGAGCCAAATTGTGTATTATGGAATATTTGAATTGTATCAAGACTCTTTCTTACGGAGAGTGGGAGCCAAATTGTGTATTATGGATGAAGTAAAGTAAATAGCTATGCTCGAATTTGTGTGGAACTAAAACCTCAATAAGAAATTGGTCTCCCAGACAAATGTTTGGGAATTGTTCTAAAACTCGACCACAAAAGTCTACATTCTATAAGATTTCATTGAGGACAATATGGTCACAAGTAGTCTCAATGTGCCCGAGGGATCCAATCATTATTAGAATTTTTCTTATTACATGCGACTTTTTATGCGAACTTTGTATAAAAATTCGCAGTAAACATTATTCTTACGAATTTTTCTGCGAAATTTTATCTACAGGTAATACCTTCATAGATAATATGTTTTTGCAAATTTTAAAATTAGGCAATAAATTTTCCTGCAAAATTTCTTGCAAAAAAAATTCGCAGGAAACTTTCTTGCAAATTTTTTTGCAAGAAATTCTGCAAGAAAATTTCTTATAAAAAAATCAGAAAAATTACTATAAATTCTATTGATAATTCTTCAACTTTCAAATGCTCACAATGAATTCATTTGAAGCATTTGCTTCCACACCTCCAACATGTGATGATACATAATTTTTTTAACTCTATGATTGTAGATCATAAATCTAACACTCAATCATACAAATCAACTTGTAAGGTAAGTGTTGCTCCAAATTATATACTCTTTAATTATTTTATTTTCAATCGATGTGAGACTTGAAGTTTTTTTTAATATTAATTAGATCATGTCTTTAGAAAAATGATTAATTCATTATATTGAACAACAAAATTATATTATTATAAATTATTTTAACTCTTAAAATATTCAATATTATAAAAAAATAGTTTTTTATTAAATAATTTTATTTTTAAAAGTATCATTAAATTAAAGCTCATCATCATTATTAATTTATACATTTATTTAAAATAAATATTTAATTTATTAATATTTTAAATTAAAATTAATTTTTA